GTATGCAAGTAGTAAGTGCCCTGTGGGGAAAATCTCTAGTTCTGAACTGGTGCAGTTCTACGACATTTAGACCCAGTAATAGTGCGCGATAAATTTCTTTAGCATGTAAACAACTGGCGAATTTAACATGGCGATGTCCTAGGAAGTGTCAATTGCCCCCCCTCCCGCTGTATCCCTTTTTCGATAGACCCGAACTAGTCCAAAATTCTATAGTTCGAATCCAGTTCTAAAATAGACAGACGAAAGAAAAAAGTATCATGATTTTTAATTCTTTCGGTGTGTGCGATTTTAAATTATTTTCAAAGAAATGTGTTTTCAATTTCAAATTAAGTTTGATTGACTGTAAGAAATGTACTTTTACATAACTTTAGCTGTAGCTGAGTTTGCAGAACTAGAAGATCTAGTTCGTGATGCATCCCTTTTTCGATAATTCCGAACCAGTTCTAAATTCGTCACCTTAGATATAGATTTCTAACGAAAAAAGTGAAATAAAATAGTTTTGTTTTTAAGTACCACATTTCGCTGATTTTAAACTGGTGGGGATCTAGATACTATCGGACTGGTTCGTTTTTTTGCGTTAAAGATCCAGTACGGAACTAGAAATTTGATTCACTAGTTCGCGATTTCCCTGCAGGGTGCGTATGATGCATGCATACATATGTATATTTGTGTATGTCTATATTGGTTCGCTTCCCATCCATAGCTGAATCACAATTTCAAAAAGGATAAATGACAATCAATAGCGTTTGATATTTCCTATTATGCGTAAGGAATAGCAAAATCAGTGAATTTGCTATTGGAAACTTAAATTTGTATATTCTAAAACACACAATGTTGGGGAAAATTTCTGGCTGAACCCTTGAACACGTTGAAAAGGGTGACATTGGAGAAACTTGAGGCTGTTGAACTAGTAAACATGCCAAAGGGAAAGCTGGAAAAGGTATGAGAGATGGTATTTGTTTATTTTCAGGGGTATCTGACAAACTTTCAGAGGTTTTCTATGCCCAAAAAAAAACTGAAGGCTGACGGCCGATAAAGTAGAGGATCGGAGTAATGATCTAAACGGCGGTGGAAGGCGTGACAGCTATTAACCAACCATGGGCCCGGAGAGCGTCATCCGCGGTCACGCTTGATTGCAGGAATGGTTGAAGCAAATTGACGGAAAACTTTTGAAGATCATTGACGCCTGACGAAGGAACCAATTAAACTCCAAATCGGAGGTGGTCTTATCGTTCGTTTAATATAGGGAAACTAGAGGCCAAAATGATCGGAAAGTCGATGTCTAGAAGTACACCCTAATTGAATAAATATCCGAACTAGTCCATTACATCACAGTCGTCTTAGTCAAATTTCTACTCACATACATACATAAATATGCTTCGCGTGACCATCTTTCGTGAACAGAGGCGCTGACTTAAAGTCAAATAGTCATCTTTGCTTCCTGCTATGCGACATGTTCATATGTGCGCTGCCCAGGTAACAAGTTCACCTAAAATATGTATAAAACGAAAAGGCCTATAAATGAATGCAGTAACAAAAAACAAAATCGACCTTTTTATTTAGAATACTTAAAGCAAATGTAGGCTTCTGATGAGAAGAAATTTTCTTGCAAACTGAACCCATTAAGCTTTTTAATTAAAATTTTAGGCAAGGCATCGAAACTTTAATTACTCTGCTACGGCAAGAGGAAGCATTAGAAACGAGTAGTTACTATGCATCGTCGTTGAAAGTACAAAACCGCGTATTGTGGGTCTGCAAAACCTCGTAACTGATATTTTTACCAAAAAAGATATTTGCTCACCGGAAGCTCCCGACATCAAGTCCTTATCCACTCGTACTAAAATATCGATACTTAGATACAATTTTCTTGATACGCTGTTTTGTACTTTAAACGACGGTATGTTTATCTTTCGTACGAGGGGGTTCGGAGAGGTCCTCCCCAATTCTGGCGGAGGTAGTGTTATTGCTCAACGTAATTTTACACAGATGTATCAGTTCTGCGGGGCTCCGAAATTCGCACATCGCGGCATATAGACAAATTTCTTTTC